CCTGAACGACTCCAGCATGGGTTGGACATGCACATGAGGGGGACAGGAAGGGGTGATAAAGGGACAGTCACTGGTGTGCGAACGGTCTCAGTCGTACAAAATTATACCTAAATAAAGACAGGTATATGAACACCGCCGCATCCAGTGCCCGGCCAAAAGACGCCAGACCGCAGAAACTCACCTGGCGAATGGTGGCTCGAACTTGACACGACTCAACCGTGCCCAGAAGAACTTGGGAGCACCGCCAGGTGAAGACGCCAGAGCCGGACCCGCAGGAGAACAGGGAGAGGCGAAGGAGGCGGTCCACACCCATGACACAGAAAACCGCGGTGTCCTCCCCACAACTGGGAACCAGGACACCCCTGGCGCAAAGGGGCACATACCGCAGCCAGGGAGAAGAACGAGAGGCGAAGCACTGTAGCAAAAAAGGGCGCAAAACCCCAGCACTGAACCATCGCCCAGACCAAAACAAACTCCACGGCGCATGCGCATAACACGCTGGCCGAACCGCACACCCTCCCTGCGGGAAGGCGCCAGCCAGGACTATTGCACGAGAAAAGAGCCAAAAGAGGAAGCAGGAACAATAAAACCGGCCAAAGAAGCAAAGAGCCCAAAAAAAGGGAACCCAAACGGGCGACAAGTAGCCCAAACGGGCGACAAGTAGCCCAAACGGCCGACAAGTAGCCCAACCGGGCGACAAGTAGCCCAACCGGGCGACAAGTAGCCCAACAGGGCGACAAGTAGCCCAACAGGGCGACAAGTAGCCCAACAGGGCGACAAGTAGCCCAACAGGGCGACAAGTAGCCCAACAGGGCGACAAGTAGCCCAACAGGGCGACAAGTACTAGGAGCCGACAGACGTTCCAATAATGCGGGAAGTAGCGAAAAACCTTCCCGTACCCTCGAGAACACAGAAGCCAACACTAGTCCCGAAGGCACACGAAGGCGCAGGCGCACCCGAGATCAAAAGTCATGCAGAACCCCATCGAACGGGGAAACATGACAAAAACACCGTCCCAAAAAGCGGGGAAGGAAACATCCACCCACAGGACGGAACCAACCGACTCAAAGGCCAAGGAACCGAGCCCGGGGAGGGGCCGACGTCCAACAGCACGTACGGCGAGTGGGGAGGAAAGACCCCACTCCGCGTAACCACAAGCCCCGCCGAGAGGGGGATAAAACCCCCCACGGGGTCTAACGGGGCCAAGGCCCCCCCAAGTCAGCCCCTCCCCAGCCCCGGGAACCTACACGACAGGCCCCGGGGCCGAGCCGTTCCCCCAAAGCCCCGGCCGTACCAGAAAACCGGGGCAGCCGTGAAAACACTAAGGAAGGGAGCCCACTGGCAGACTCATACAACACGGCTGGAGGAACAGGCCCAAATGCCCCCGTCACTACCCCGGAAGGGGAATTCCCCGAGACTGCCCGAGTCTCAACACCACCAAACACCCCGCCCTGAACCTACAGACGGTAAGGAACCGGATACAGGCAGGAAGGGTGAACCAGGGGAAAGACAAGGGGGCGTGGATGGAACCGAAGCAACCAACACCCCCAAGTCCCAAAACGAAATACAACGGGGCAGCCCCGGGGTTCCCGGGGAGGAAACCACGAGAACGTTGCCACCACCAAGGCTCAAGTGCAACGCCCCTGCTGCCCGCACCCGCTTTGTTAGCACAACTGGGTAACCGAGCCACAACGAGCAACCAAACTCGCAGGACACCGGGTCGAAGGTGTCACCGACCCCACAGGCAGCAGACGGAGGCAAAACAGAGAGTCACCCAGAGACAAAAGGTGAGAGCAACCCTCAAACTCGCTGGAAGCGAGGGGGGGGCTCTGGGGTCACATCCATCGGACCCGCGCGCCCCCAGGGGTTTCCCAGGGTCCCGAGCGTTTACTTTAAGAGGACTCGCGCTCAGGTAATCCCAGGCAGGGTACTGCTAACCGGCACCCAAGCTACCAAACAACTTTCTAAGAGCTGAACCCCCGGGACGTGTACACTCACGGGGACCTAGCAGGGGGTACCACCAGAAATACTCAGAACACAAGGGACACAAGGGGCAAGAACGAAGGCAGACCCCCCCACCAGGTATATAAACAAAAGAAAAAGAAAACCCTGCAAGAGGACAGCGTACCCAAGCGGAACAGAGCCGGCCGCTATGATTGGTAAAGACAAGCTGCACAGTACCCCGCGCCCCACCAGTGCAAACACTGCCCCTTACTCTAAGGCGAACAAGGGAGACAGAACACCCGAGCACACAAAGAGCGGCCGAAAACCAAGCGGTAAACGGCCAAGCAGGGGCAGGACCCAAGGAACTTGTGGAAGGTGGCCCCAAGCCCCAAGGGCAGTACTTACAGGGCACCTAGGGAAGGGAACCCTAGGCGCATGCAGCCCGAGTACTGAAGAATCACACCCGGCTCACGCACCACCTAGAAAACAGACACCACACTCTAGGTACAGTGCTGAAACAACCACTGGAGCCGGAGCACATAACCATTGCCTATAGCATCAGCCGAAGAACTGATGGGTGGATAGCCGGCGTGGGAGGTCTGGGGCTCCCCCTTCCCCCTCCCGGGGAGGGGGGAGCTGCGCAGACAGCGGCGCGGTGACGTATGACGTCATACTAGTTTCCGTGTTTTCTGTTGAAGAGTTCTATTCACTAGTTCGGCTTAGGTAGCAATTTTCACCAGAATAGGGGTTTGTTTTGGAATGCTTACCTTTCTGGATGCTTGACCCGGTCGATGGCAGACATAGAATGCTTCCAACCACACGGGGGTTTCTATAGGCCATTGCTCCCCTTGCCTCTCTGAGGGGGCCAGGTTCTGGCTCGTGGTCCCCGGTAGGCCCTAGAACTCCATACACATGACTGATGCCAAAGTCTGACATTAGCATATCAGCCGGTAAAGCTCCGGGGAGCCGACGGGGCTCCCCCCAGAAAAAGTGGTGATATGATCACTACGTACAAAATTGTAACAAGAATCGATAAAATTGATAGGGAAGAATTCCTGAGACCTGGAACTTCAAGAACAAGAGGTCATAGATTCAAGTTAACTAAACAAAGATGCTGAAGAAATATAAGAAAATTCACTTTTGCAAACAAAGTGGTAGATGGTTGGAACAAGTTAGGTGAGAAGATGGTGGAGGCCAAGACCGTCAGTAGTTTCAAAGCGTTATATGACAGAGTGCTGGGAAGATGGGACACCACGAGCGTAGCTCTCATCCTGTAACTACACTTAGGTAATTACATACTTACACAGGCAAGGTCACCTAGACAATTGTCGTGCCTTTCAAATTGACCTACATAATGTAGGTGCTTGGAGCACCATATGGCAAATGGAATTAAATGGGATTAAATGTCATGTTATTGAATGTGGAATAGGAGAAAATAGACCACACATACAAATTATTGGAATGGACTTAAAGAATTCTAACATAGAAAGTGATATACGGGTGGTTCTGAATAGTAGACAAGGATGCAACCTCACAACAAGCTGACTAACCCCCGATTACCTACTTACTGCTAGGTGAATTGAAGTATTAGGTGAAAGGAAATGTAGCCAACCATTTCTGTCCCCCCCAGGATTTAAACCCGGAATTCTCGATTGTGCATCGAGAACGAACTCGATTATATTACCGGGACCCTAATCAAATATAACAAAGATAAAGGATGTTGGGACAATGTGCGAGGAGCATATGCTGCGCTTTCAAAATTCACAATTGCTTTTAATTACATAGATGGTGAAATACTAAAGAAACTGTTCATGACTTCTGAGATCAAAATTGAAATATGCAGATGTATGGTGCCCATTTCTCAAGAAGCACACCAACAAACTGGAAAAGGTCCAAATGCATGTGACAAAATGGCTTCCAGAACTGAAAAACAAGTTATGAATGAGAGGCTAGAGGTATTAAATATACCAAAATTAGAAGATAAAAGAAAGAAGTGATATGATCACCACTTACAAAATAATAAATAACAGGAATCAACCAAATTGACGGAGCAATTCCTGAAGCTGGCAACCTCAAACACATGAGGTCATAGATTCAAGCTAAGGAAACAAAGGTGCAGAACAAATATTACAAAATTTTCTTTTGCAAATAGTGGTGGACAGTTGGAACAAGTTAATTGAGAAAGTGGAGGAAGCCAAAACCATCAGTAATTTCAAAGCAATATATTACAAGGCGTACTGGGTGGGAAGTAAGTAATTATCAAAGAAGGCACCAAGCCGGGAAGGCTATGTAGCAGGAGTACTGGGAAAACAGGACACATTGCAATATGAATTGCATGTAGAGCAAGCAATCTTAGTTCATTTTAGTTCTGTAAACTCATGAAAGGTGCATTACTGAAAATTATTATATATTCTGAATTATATAAGCTTAATAATATGGTATAGAAACAATAAAACAGTAGCTGTAGGAAGCACTAATTGTTGCCAATAAAGTAGTGAAACCAAAAAAGGTGTTAAAGTACTGGTAAAGCATTATTTACAAATAAAGTACTTTCCTCTTGGCATTTATCTGCATAGAACATTGTGGTACATTTACTAATATTTGTCAACCATTATGTTAATTATGAAGTGGAAATCTTCAGAATCAGGTATCATTTTTATTATCTTTAGTCTTCAGTGCTCCTCCCCCCCCTTTTTTTTTATCTTGAATGATGCCTGCTAACCAATATGAGATTAGGAAATAGTGTGGTGGTGATTATTCAATACTTGATCTATAGACTTGGCTTGTGGAAAAAGTTTTCATCCATATGTTGGTCAGCAAAGATCATTGTGAAAGGATTAAATTGATTTAAATAATGTAATATGCTAAAGTAATTCCAAAGCACATTTACATGCATAAAACAGACTTGACTGAGTATGTTAAATGTTAAATTATATAGGATGAGATAATATAAAATTTGAACAGTACAAATTTCTCCTTTCAGAGATATATCTTAAAAAGAACTACCATGCATAGTGAATTATGTAAACCCCAGGGTTATTAAAACAATGTACTACCTTCTTCACTTTCTTCGTCCTCATTATCAGTGTCATCAGTGTCCTCTTCCGAATCTTCCCCTTCTTCACTACAAGCCTCGTCACTTTTTTCTTCATCTTCTTGGCCATCGTCATCATCACAATCTTCTTCATCTGAGCATTCTTCATCTGTATCTGAACCATCTTCTGAATCTGATTCAATTGAACGTTTTCGCTTTGGAACCCTGGTGATCAATTCGTCGTCATCATCAGAATCATCATCACTAACATCCTTAATCTCTTGCTTATTTTCCTCCTTGTGCATCTCGGACAACTGAAAACAACATACAGTATGGTCAAATGTTGAATTATTAATAAATGTAAAATAGAGAAATTACCCCATGAATGATTTAAGACAAAATCACACACACAAAAAAAAACGCACATATGTACAGTACATACTTATGTAAAGAGAAACTACAAGTCTTCCCACTCTGCCGAGTGCATTGTCAAGGTCTGAGTATATGTCAGGGTCTACATTATCAAGGTCTGCTGATAGAGCTTCAGCCTCAAACGTGTGTGGTTTACGGTTTGAGTCTCCAAGAGCCCAGGTGAATGGAAGGTCTCAGTATATGGTTTGGCCAAGACTTACATCACCACGACAAAAGCTTTAGTGATGATGATGACAGACTTGTCCAGACAATACACTCAGACCTTGATAATGCACTTAGGAGAGCAGAAAGACTTGGTGTAGTTCAAACCTTGAATAAAACCTCAATAAAATACACAAATACCTAAGTGTGGTTTTTTGTCCAACAAAACATAATGAATAAACTGTATGTACTAAGAAATATCATCAAACTAAAGTTATACACATTCCAAATATAAATGTATTATTTTAACTATTCTTGCATAATAAAAAATCACCATTATCTATATTGCAAACCATTGTATTTTTTTTTTCCAAGCAAGAACTGTCACCAGTTCTCGACCAAATGCTACAAAAACTATTAACACTTGTATCTTTGGGTAAATCTAAATACAGTACCCAAAATGTCAAGAACTCTTCAACTATTCTTAAATTGCATGCTGAAATATAAAATATATCTAAAAAGTAAGTTAAAATAACTTTTAATAACCTTTTATCACCAAATAAAGGATTAAAAATATTTTGTTCCTTGTATTTTCAAGTGGCTGTACTGGTTGTAAACTGTAGAATAGAATAAGGGAAGACATCTAGTAAAGTGCTTTATGTTTATATATATAAAAAAAACCCACACAAATCTGTACCATGTGTCATGCTCTATGCCATGGGAGTCCAAGTGTCAGTGCTCAACAACCAAACCCAAATACTATACTGTACTGTATCTCCAAAATCAAATAAAAGTGACATCAGTATAAATCAACACTCTGTGATACCTTGTACATTAACATCAGATCTTATCTTAATATTTAGTAGTTACAAATGAAAGAGCCACTAAACACAGGAAGGGCAATGCTGGTCCTTATCTAAATGATGTTGGCTATATAAAAATAATCAATTAAGTCAAAACATCCCCAAAGAATATGAGCACTAATACACCATCAACTATGTACAGTAATATCATACCCTAATGCTCAGTTGTTTTCATAAGCATGTTGTCTCAGTAATGTTCTGTAAGTGTTAAAAGAAACATGGGTATAACATACATCATAACATAACACACATGTTAATACAGATAAAATATTCCTCATAAATATGTAAATGAACTGCTTGCTTGAGCACTTCTTCAGTATCATAAGTTCAGCACAATATACTGTAGTGTCATTTAATAAAATAACTTAGCGAATGCATCTACATTTGGTTACATATAGGTATGTTTGTTTTATAAACAAACAAAATGTTCAGTATGTTTAAATTATAATTATCATGTAAACAAATACCCATATCCATATCTAGTCAAACATAAGATGAAATCTGAGAAAGTTCAGAGTATTGCTCGGTACTCACTTTCCCTTTCAGAGCGGGAGAGATCTCTGAATTAGAGGGAACATAGAGAACATATACGGCACGCATAGTAACGATAAAACATCTAAATTATTGGGACCATCTCAAAGCTCTCAAAATGTACTCTTTGGAAAGGAGACGAGAACAGTATCAAATAATATATAAATGGAGGACACTTGAAGGCTATGTCCAAAATTTGCACAGTAGAATAACAACATACAGGAACGAAAGATACAGAAGGAAATGCAGAATACAACCAGTGAAGAGTAGAGGTGCCAGAGGCACAATCAGAGAACACTGTCTGAACATCAGGGGTCCACAGCTGTTCAACACCCTCCCAGCAAGCATTTGAAATATTGCTGGAACAAAGGTGGATGTATTCAAGAGGCACTTAGATAAGTTCTTGCAAGAAGTTCCAGACCAACCAGACTGTAGTGAATATGTGGGCCTGCGTGCCACTCCAAGCAACAGCCTGTTGGCCCAAGAAGGGGGAGTAGAAGAACACCCAGAACTCTTTATAGGTATGCCACCAGACTAGTCGCACAGCTAAGAAATATGAGCTACAATGACAGGCTACAGGAATTAAACCTCACTTCACTGGAAGACAGAAGAGTTAGAGCAGACATGATTACCACCTACAAAATTCTCAGAAGAATTGATATGGTAGACAATGATAGACTGTTTAGCACTGATGTTACATGAACGAGGAGACATAGATGGAAACAAAATACTCACAGATATTAGAAAGAATTTTTTCAGCGTCAGAGAAGAGAACAAATGGAATGCGCTAGGCAGTGATGTGGAGGATGCAGGCTCCATACACAGTTTCACAGACAAGAGGCTGGACCAAAGAGCTCAACCCCCTTAAGTACAATATAAATGAATACAAGAGGGTAATACTCCTGCACAGAAATGTGAATGTCAACATCTAAATACCACACTGACCAAACATTAACAATTACTTAAAAATCTAATTTGGGAGGAATATTATATTTCATACTAATATTTTTCCTGACAACTCTCTGCTGTTATATTTCTTGGACTGAGGAAATTAGTGCTTTAATAAACGCCATTGTGAGGGGCTTTCATCCCCACTAATAAAACCTCATTACTTTTCAATAGATGTTAAGAGGAAATATGTCTCCTCTGCTGAATTTGGAAATAAAATATGTAACTCCAATGCAAAATTTGTGCTAAATAACTCCAACATTAGGTAGTACTCATAAAGCAGAATTTTGACTCTAAAAATAAGAAAAGAGCTAGTATAAAACACACTCGAATACTTATTATAAGACTATTATGACAAAATATTCATTTAATGAATTGACATCCGTGCCAAGGCTATAACAGATCCTGGGACACCAGCGGTAAGATTACTTACTGTAAAGTATGAAAATGTTGCCACTGACTAGTATGAGCCAGACTCCCTAGGCACGAGAGTTGTAGGCCTACCAGGCTCGTGAACAATTTTCCAAAGATACCAGGAACTACAGGCCACCCAGGCTGGTGCGAGCCATATGGCCAAGAGGTGTAGGCCTACCAGGCTGGGTGAGGCTGGTACTCCAGGTACGAGGAGGAGTACCAGTGCCGCCCCTGTCACAGCCGCCACTGTCACTACTCTACTGCTCTACTCTGGTCCACCACACTGGGTAATACCCTCCACAACACCCATGACCCCTCCACTTCACCCCTAACTGCACACACTCGACTACTTTAGCCAGACAACACGGGCTCCTGCCTAATCACTGACAAACTAGCAGGCATCTCTCAGCCTTCTCCAGCAAAACAATCAAATCAATCCAACACACCAATTCGTTCACTATAAATTAACGGAAGGAGCTATATATGACCTACCCGAATACACGGTTTCTGTCCTGCAAGATGAAGGAGGTACTAGTTATGTTGATATTCAGGTTACTACACCATACAGATGTAAACAATAAGTTTTCTCATAATTGGAAGTCGGCGTCGGCCATTTCTAGTTACCTTAAATTCCACTAATGTACATCATGTTGATGAAAAATCAATCTTTTCCTCTGTGTATTGCTGTTAGATTTAAAATGCCCTTAATTTATATTCCATGTAACAAAGTTGATCAAAGAAAGCCGCTCTAATGTGTAAAATCATTTATAATAACAAATAAATAAAAACACCTCACCTGTCAAATGACAGAAAAAATACTTGGAACCTCTGGGTTTGGATAAGCATCTGCTATAATAATACTTAAAGAAATATGTAAATGTACCTGAAATTTTCTTGATATATCAGATTAATGATTTTAATTGTAAATAATGAAAAATGCTAAAATGTCCTTGAAATATAGCTTTACATGAGGCTACAGTTCCTAGAAACTGTGAAACGATATGTGAAACTAAAATAATGTTTTAAATCAAATATTATTATACTTAAAAAATGTAATAAATTATTATATTATTTTAGAGTTTACAAAGAGGTAGAGAGTAGTGAGGATGGCACAATAGGCGCAGTTTTAGTGGAGCGGAAGCCGGGGCGGCACATTACTGGAACCTGGCGGCTTGTGGAGGGTCTTTCCCATAGTCGTGCGGACCCGAGGCGGCGGCCACCCTCGCTCCTAATACACAAACTTCAACCATGGGGCGTATGCACAGTGGAGGGTGAGTGTCCTTGGCCCTGCCGTGGCATAATTGAAGGTTTGCACAAGTCGCGGGATGTATAAGAAGGTTTTTGTAATGGTTTATAGAGGAAAAATAGGGTTTGATAGCACTGTTTACCCCTGGGTGCGGGCCACCACGTGAGCCAACGGGAACAGCATTTTGTGTGGTTGGCTTCCAAGGGGTGATATATCAACTAGTGGTTGTATAAATAACTCATTTGGTAGTTGTTAGCATTTGGTTTACATTGGGGTTTGTGTATTACAGGAAGGGTATCTCCCAGTCTGCCCTGCCGTACCGTCGCTCTGTGCCCAACTGGCTCAAGCTGACCAAGGATGATGTCGAGGACCAGATCGTCAAGCTGGCCAAGAAAGGCCTTACTCCCTCGCAGATTGGTCAGTATATATGTATATTGGGGATGTTGGGGGAGGTATTTCCCCTTGATAGTAGGGGGGGGGGTTACCTGTTGTTATCTTGATGTTGTATCTTTGAATTGTAGAAGAGATTATTAGGTATACACATTCTTAGTGATGGGCCACCAGCACACCACCTGCCCTATAAGACAGGTGCCTGGCATTGTACATTTATGTGATGCTTGGGTATAGCCATGTGGGTTTGCCTCGGCAGTGTGCAGGATCACTGGTTACCACCCCTTACTGATGCATCATTGTAGTTTTGGGCGCCTGCATGCTGTATTAACAGCAGAGTTCACCATCCCAGGCAAGGTTCCCACCATAGTTTCCAGGGAGGCCTGGTCACAGGCGAGGACGGTGAACTCTGAAATTAAGGCAAGGTAACAACAAGGTAGCCCCATGTGGTCAGTCCACCTTATTGACTTGGTCCATGGCCCACCTTGCACACTCCCCATAAACTTAACGATCCAAGTAGTGGATGTGGCTCAAGAAGAATGCTATATTGATTATCACATGTTGGCTTCTGTCCCAGGTGTTGAGAACAATAGACCCACCTGTTTGAGTCCCTCAACAATCCTATATACAGTATTTAAGAATAAAAAAAAATGCATTCCTTGCACTAAATAAAATTAACCAGATAAGGTCCCTGTGTGCAGCTCGATTACACCAGTGACCACATCTCGCAGTATAATATATATATATATATATAAATATATATATATATATATATATATATATATATATATAATAATATAATATTTAGAATCTGTGCAAATTTGCTAAGTTAACCTTCAAGGAGCAGTTATCGCATTTGTCACCTTTCCAGTGCACAAAAAGATTGTGGTTATCTTGAGTATACATTTATGTGCAAGAAGTAAGGGGAAAGGCATAATTTTCTGGTTGGGTGCTTGGTAGGAGGAAGCTGGGTGGAGTCATCATGGGATGCATTGACTCTGTATAGGCACTTTGCCGATTTGAGTTCAAGCTGGCTATGTTCGTTGCTTCACTTCACACATTGTTTAAGAATTAAATATGTGAACCTATGTAGGATACCCTGTTCTTGGCACAGTTCACAGTTTGAAAAACATAAATTAATGAGTCGCAACATGGTTTTACAAATGGCCGTTCGTGTGCTATCTTTTTATTCCAGCATAGTTGAGGCAGTTGATAGTGGTAAGGATTTTGATGTTGTGTACCTTGACTTTAGCAAAGCTTTTGATACAGTGCCACATGAAAGACTGGCTAAAAAAAATAGAGGCTCGTGGTATTGGGGGTGCTATGTTAACACTTTTGCGCGCCCGGCTAAGGTTAAAAAAAGCGGTATGTGCGTGCGGCGTTTTTGTTGCTTAAGCGTCAAAACAAAAATGTGTATACCCTTTTTACTCTCCTGACCTTAGTTCTCAATCTACGTATTTCATTTTGGTACCAATGTGTTCGCAATAAAATTCTCTAGAAAACATCAGTGAAAAAGGTCACGAAAGGTATAGGGATACCAGCACCAAATAAATAATTGCATAGATGACTCGCCGTGAGAGCCCAACAGCAACAAAATGTTTTTACTCTTGGGATTGTTATCACCTCCACACTTGTCCTACAGCGTTAATTTTGGTATCAATGGACGCGCAATGAAATTCCCAACACGGTGATATGAATATAAATGTAGAATAATGGTCGCGGCCCACCCGCAAGAGTGTGGGAAGTGGTGGAACTGTTACCCGGTGTCGGTGACGCAATGACACATGTGCGATACGGTGCTTTGAAAGTTTATACCTATTTCACTGTCCTGACATTGTTATTCTGTGTACGTCATTCATTTTTATGCTAATGTGTTCGCAATAGAATGTTCTATGAGCCCGTAGGTAAAAAAGATCAACAAAGCGTAAGATAGCGCCAAATATAAAACAACGCTGGAACATATCAGTGAGCGTTAAACACACGAAATGTTTTTACTGTGTTTGTCAAGTTTATACTTGTTGCACAGTTATTTTTGGTTGTACATTGATCGGAATAAAATTCCCCAAACAGACATATGCATATAATACATGATATGGGGGAAGCATTACAGTATAAATGGCTAAAATCACCCACCTGCAACTCGCTTGGGACACTCATGCAGACACGCTACACCCAAAAAAAAATCTATGAAGGTTCGAGTCTACTTACGGCAGTTTGTGATAGTGTTCATTCTGGTATCAAAGTACTTGTTTCAGTTTGTAGTTCATGCGATTTTCAGAATCGACTGAATCGCTGGAGGTTCATCATTTGAGTCAGTCATCTGACAAAACCGTCTCGTCAAATGGCAGTGTGCCGGACATCTCGGGTTCTGATTCTGTTGCTGCTTCAGCTTGAGGTGTTGAAGTGAACAAAGGCTGCCTAACACCAGATGGTCCAGGAGTTTGCATGGCGTCAGCATAGGCAGGACCTGTGTCATCATTTATGTCTGGAGCGTGCCGCAAGTGTTGAGATAATGTTGCTGTTTGAGGCCAATCTTCCGGGTCCCAGCGCAATAGGGCCCAAATTGCCACCTTGTGGAACTGTAGCAATGTTAGCTTTTTTTGATCAGTTGTGTTGTATTTGTACAAAACAAAGGCATTATGTAATGCCATTTGCAGGAAATAAAACGTTATCTTTTTGGTCCACTTGTTAGTTTTCCTGGTAAAATGGTAATACCATTTGATCGAAGTGGTCCACACCTTTCATGAACTTATTGTACCATGCAGCCTAGTGGTGAAAAAGAGAGCCTCATGGCGTGCAGTTTGAAACAAACCCAAAGTAAATCGGATTAAAATTGAATTTTATACAAATATTTTTTTCAGGACATCATTTCATGTCCACATTGCGGAAGCGGGTAGGCGAAACAGGACTCCAGGTTATGTCCTGATCCTCATAAAGTGTTAAGTTGGATTAGGGCATGGCTATTCCAAAGGAAACAGTTACTATAAATAGCGTTACGTCAGCGTGGGATAATGTTAGTGGAGTGCCTCAAGGCTCTGTCCTGGTATCTCTGTTGTTTATAATATATATAAATGATTTAGATTCAGGTTTGAGTAGCAACATTTGCAAATTTGCCGATGATACAAAAATCGGTAGGGAAATTAACACGGAAGAAGACTCGCTATCACTTCAAGTTGATCTAAATAGGGTTTTGAATTGGTCAAAAGATTGGTAGGTGCAGCTTAATGCTGATAAATGTAAAGTTCTGAGGATAGTTACAAGGTACGAGCTAGATGGTGTTGAGATGCAAAAGGGATCTGGGAGTTATGATTAGTAAGAATTTAAAACCAAAAAATCAATGCATAAATGTTCGTAATAAGGCAAATAGGACACTGGTATTTATTAATCGAAGCGTTAGTAACAAGACACCTGGTGGTGTTCTTCAGCTATATCTTGCTCTGGTTAGGCCCCAAGCGTGGGTTGGACATGTATATGAGTGGGATTAGGTGGTTATAGATAGGAGCTGCCTCGTATGGGCCAATAGGCCTTCTGCAGTTACCTATGTTCTTATGTTCTTAAGTGTCTTGAAACCCGTTCCTCTGCTGCTGCTGTTTTGGGAAACTTGACCAGGAATTGTTTCAAACACTAATGGGAACGACTTTATTAAAATTTGGCTAAATGCTAGTAATACATCAATATAGATGTAATACGAGTTAAGACCCATGAAAAGGCTTTCCTAACAAAATAAGATTTCAGCATTTTAATAAAAAATGGTAAATGTTTAAAATTTCAGAACTAAATTAAAATTTAACATTTTATATATTGCATTCAACTATCATAAGTCAAAAATTTGAGATTGATTTATTCAAACCAGTCCAGCTGATAGAAGATAAAATATTTTGTCCCTTCCCCCCCCCCCCCCCATATATAAATTTATACATTTACAAATTCCTAACATGAAACTATATCGCCAGTTACAAAACTATTCTACATTGTGGCAGAACTATACAGGACACGTTCAAGACACTCGTGTGAACAGTTCAAAAGGTTCGGCACTGTTCGGTGGTGGTGGTTTACCGGTTTCCTTCTCCGTTTACATGCATATTGATGGTGATGTGTACTCTTACGACGGTAGTTTGATTCGCCTTTTGAAACTATGAAGAAAAGTTTGCAACCGAAAAAATCCCATGTAGGTGTTGACTGTTTTTTTATATATATACAGTGGTACCTTCGTTTACGATCGTAATCCATTCCTGGAGACGTGTTGTCAACCAAAAATTTGGCAACAAACTAATTTTCCCCGTAAGAAATAATGTAAACTTAATTAATCCGTTCCACGCCCCCAAAAATATTAACTTAAAAATACATTCTATTCCAAATAACTCATTTTGTACTAGCTACAAAACAGTACTGTATACAGTATATCTTACCTTGAATGAGAACTCTTGTTGGTACATGGAAGACTGTGTGGTGGTAGTGTTTGGAAGGGAAGTCCCCTTCCATTATAACAGCAATGATGACATTTCTAGGGTACTCATTCCTACATTTTGCAGACAGATGAATCAAACAGACACCGTTGTGCCCCAATTCAAATTTAATGGCTAATTTGAATTCCTCGACCAAAAAAATCGTACTCTGGGGCAGTCATCAACCGAGGTTCCACTATATATATTTGTATGTGAGCATATGTAACTACATTTGATATCTAATCGACATTATTAGCCCAGGTGTATCATGTGTTGGTGCGTGTAGGGGCCCCTAGCAATATTGCAGTGTTGGAAAATAGGGGGGTTGTTGTCTGTGCTAAAAAATGTTCCACAAAGCAGGATGTTGAGCTTGCAATCACACAGCACCTCTGTTCAGTAGTAAGTGGCATCATGAATGTAGGTGAAAGTTAATTATAGTGCCACTGGCATTCAACATGCCCTGCACCATAAGTCCATGCAATGGAAAAATGTTGCCCAAGGCAAGGTGTTGAGCTTTCTATCTACAGTACCTCTGTACAGTAGTAAGTCATCGTAAATGTTAGAGAATGAAAAAACAAATGTATAGTACCATTGGTACTATACCATGTATAGTACCAATGTTAATGCACTACTGAATTATTATCCCTGTCTTCAACATTCCTTTCACCATCATTGGAAGATGCCTACGAGTCCCATATTATTTATAACCTTTTCTAGTTTTTTATGTAAATGCATTTAGGAAAATGTTCATTGTTGACCATTGGGGGGGGATTGACCCAAATTGTTAAGACTATTTTTTCCCAGAGTATTGCTGTATCAAAAGTATTTTAAGACTTGAGATTTGGTGTAATTCGATGTAGATCCTGCTCAATTTTTGCACCTGAATCTACAGATAACCGCTGAAATAATGGTTAAACCATATCTTAATTTGGGTAAAACCATATTTTGGGGCTTTGCTGTAGGTGCTAGAACAACCTTATGTTTACAAATAGTGGAACCTCAATTCAGCGAGTTGAATCTCCAGTTGAAATGCTCACTTTCCAGGCCAGATTTACTAACATAATTTCATGAACTCTTCCCAAGTAGTTTTATCAGAAAACCTAAGTGTAAAATGGAATTAAAACTGAGCGACATGAGCCAACACTTAGATAAAAATTTACTGAAAATAACACCCCTAATAGGTTTTAGGTACTGTTAACGCTTGGTAAGTCAAATTGTATGGGACCCACTACTATTAATTTTTTTAGTAAAAAAACAAACTAGTAATAATTATAATAATTTGAATCAGTTCTCCATTTGGTATATAATCTTTTAACCCAAATTCCTAGTTAGTTGGGTCAGAAGATTAAAAAAATGGTTCGAACATGGATTTTTGTATTACTGATGCAGGTTAACAGGGTCTGAATTACTTAGCTCGTATTATGTGCCACTAAATCAAATTTTAATAGAATAAACGGGTTCAATGATTTGTTATGCTGAGACAGACGGTTAGACATGGTGGACAATGTCTTGATTTAATGTAGAATCAACATGGAAATAAACATGTGCAGTACAAGAAAATACTGTAGAGTACAATTTATTGATGTTATTGAGGGGGGAATATGATTGACGAGTCACTTTATGTTCAGCTTTGGTTATCCATTTTGGGTTATTATTCAGCCTTAGAAATTTATTGGTTACACATTTCTGGCTTTAATTGTAATTAGTAAAAAATTTATTAAAAAGTGTCCTAGTATGGAATGGGAAAGTTTGAAATTTTTTGGACAATTTTGTTTTTTCTGAAGATACATTATGCAATACAAACAGGGAAAATAGGGTTATAATCAGTGAAGTTGTAAATTACATGCATAATAAAGTAAAAGTTGTTTAATGGTTGTGGGGGTTTGGTGAGGTAGAGGGTGATGGGGGCTCACAAATCTGCACAGCACACAAATAATAATATTGTTCATTGCAAATACATTGTCATGAGTTCAGTAGTCAGCACAGTAAATATTGCACCAATTTTTGTATTGCACTCTTGGGGCAAAATGTTCGAACCTCTTAAAAATTCTATCATACCATTATCACATCCAAACAATTTGGTGTGGTATACTAGTTATTTCTTGATTTCTATAGTGATCCACCAATTTATACAAATACATAGTGATCTAACATGAGCATGCAGTATACTATATAATTTGCATTCTTGTCTTTTGCTGACATCAGCACTGTTTGCCGATAATATTTATACCCTAAACTTTACTCACATATACTCGAGTGCTTTTGTGTAGACTTTTTCTTGCCATGTGTGAAAGACGAGTTTGTGCTTATTGCAAAATGCTAGTGTGCTAGTGGTGTCCACTGCTAACATCCTCTTGACTACACAGAAATCACAATAGTGGCTGTGACGTTCTTCAGCACAGCCCTTGTGGATTTGTTCATCCTCTTGACTGTTTCTTGTATCCTTTTGGATCAACTTGATTCCTGATTTGAAATAAAAACTTTTTTCTGGCTTCAGAGTTTTTCTCTGGCTTGCCATTTCATAAACTGCCTCATTTAACAGTATTCTCACATGTGAGTGTATCTGAAAATCTTATTTTATAAAAAGAATTTCATTGGTATAATATTCACACTCCACTTGTCCACAATATGCTGATATACTGGTCTTCTGCTATGACTTCAACACTCCTCTACAATCAGTAGAAAATCTGGTATCTTTACTACTAACTACTTTCTTTAAGCCTGTTAGCACTATCGGTAACTTTGGACCGGACTCCCGTCCATTATTTTTCTCTTGAATCCTAACTTTGGACCGGACTTCCACTACACTACATTCACTCCACTACACTACACTGCACTACTCCACTACAAAAATATTTGTATAAAATTCATTTTTTTATCCAATCGACCTAGGAATAGTATCAAAATAAGCGCCTTTAGAATGCGCACAATTTGATACCAAAATGAGATGTAACATGAAACTTGATGTCCGAACACTTATATGATTATAAATAGGTTTTTTGGTCAAAATTTGAAAATGTTTGTTAAAAATTCTATTTATTGTGCTATTATGTTGGGACTTGTTTTAAAATGCGTGCCTTTACGTCACAAACAATTTGATACCAAAATGAAAGATGTAACACAATAATTTGTCAAAACACTGGAAAGATATACATAATTTTGTGATAAGCTTCCAGTATTAAAATATTTGTTAAAATTCCAGTTATTGCCCTATTAATATGGGACTAGTTAAAATACACGCCTTTTTATTGCTAACAATTTGATACCAAAATGAAATACATAGCGTGAAAATTGATGTTATCAAACTGAACAAGTATTCACATTAGGTTGCTGTGTACAAATTGTTGCTCGTTCCCGGGTAACTTTAGGCTTTTCTGCGGGGAGGCACTCCAAACTTTTGTACTTTATATTCATACACATCTGTAGGGAATTTAATTGCGAACACAATTATACCAAAACGAGCGACGTAGCACGAGAATTAAGGTGAGAAAATGGAACGAGTATGCCCATTTTACTGATTTTGTGCTCTTACGGTAACTTTTGCCAACTTTAGGCTTTGCTGTTGGGAGTCACGCCAGGCTTTTGGACATTATATTTATACACACCTGTAGGGAATTTAATTGCGAACACAACGATACCAAAACGAGCGAAAAAAATATTTTTGGAGTTGGCGGGAGTCCAAAGCGAGTGAGTGCTAATACTATTTCTTTCCCCCTTTTAGTCTTAATTCTTGAAGCTGCCTTTATCTCAAATTCTGTCCAATACTCTGTAAGATCAATTCCATGTTAATTATATTTATCGCAGCATTTCTTGGACATCCTAAAATTATTCCCATGACTTAATTACTTCCTCCAAGTTTGTTCTACCAAAACAAGAAATGACCAGTGCTACATAATATCATTTATTTACAAGGTACAATGGGTAGGTGAGATTGTTAGCTATATTTTTACATTCTTGCAAAGCCACTGACATGTATGGTGTTTTGGTCAATTAATGAGCTCACTCAAAGTAGTGTATCGTGCATGGTTCCCACTCCCTTTCCACATCCTGCCATGGTTTTCTAAGGTTGTAGTCTTCTCTGGCATTGTCTCTAATGTCAGTTAACTCTGCTTCCAAACTCTCATATCTGACATTTGCCAAGATATTTGTAAAAATCGCTGACAATTTGTACATCCAAGTTTAGTTGTTGTCATTAACCACCAGTCCAATATGGAATAATGTATGCTATCTTATTCATTAGTACTGTACAGTATATTAAACAGGATGGAACATGAACACCAATCCTTGAGGCATGTATAACTCAAAATATTTTGCATCTGACATACAACTTTGCAGCGTAGAGTCTTTGAAGGTAATCCCTTATCTAGTGCAATAATCTCCTTTTAACACAGACTAGATATAGAGTTCATATAAAATGGCTTTTTTGTTAGCTTTATCAAAGGCTCCTGGTAAATCGATAAAATTTCTTTAGTTATCATTAGGTATACATAAGTGTACTCTCAGTTGGCTCTTAAGAGGTGGGATAATCATAACTTTTTATTTTTTTAATTTCTGGGAATGCTATCCTTTTTATAACTAACATTAAAGGTCTAACAGTGTTGGTAGTGTATATAGGAATTTCATGGCATTAATTTTGTATTTCTTTTTTCCAGGTGTGATATTGCGTGACAGTCACGGTGTTGCTCAAGTGCGCTTTGTTACTGGCAACAAGATCCTGCGTGTGCTTAAAGCCAAGGGCTTGGCCCCAGATATTCCAGAAGACTTGTATCACCTTATTAAGAAGGCTGTAGCCATCCGCAAGCATCTAGAAAGAAACAGGTAATTGTGTTCTGATGAATCCTGCATATTAGGTTTTTAATGTTAATGGGATGTTTTGCATTTTCAGCAATAATATTGGCTATAATTTTTATCAATCATTGTTTAATCCCATAATTTTAACTTGCAGGAAGGACCGTGATTCAAAGTTCCGTCTTATTCTGGTCGAGTCTCGTATCCACCGCTTGGCCCGTTATTATAAGACTCGTGCTGTGTTGGCCCCTACTTGGAAGTATGCATCATCAACTGCCTCTGCTCTTGTTGCATAAATAAATTTATTACAATGACAATGACTTTAGTTGCCTATTTTAATTATACAAAATGTTGTAGTTAGGTAAGCCTAGTTTTGATATGAACTTGAAAATTATTTTTATGGACAAAACTGGGAGTTACATGGTTCGCATAATGCAACCTAGAAAATTTTGCATAATTGGAGTGCTGCTGTATTTACATGTTCACTTCATATTTATAATGCCCAGAACGATTTGTTGGTTTCTAGGTATTTAAAGTTATCAGGGTTATCTTGTCACTAGTTTGGCTTTCACAATTGCCATAGCACAATGGATGTCTTGGTGAATTTATCTACTTTTGTAATGCCTTTGTTGCTGCCAGAGGTGGCTAGTTTGTTGTGCAACCTATACTCATCCTGTGAGTGGTAGTGCAAACAAGGATTACATTGGGCACGAATTGAGTGTTAATGTCTGGTGCATTAACAATTACAGTACATCTTGTCATGCGCACCTTATAGTATCGGCTAGTTTGTTCCATTTCAATAGCTATGCATTGACAATCATGCATTGATGGTAGGTCTTTTTGCTAATACACAATTGTTTGAGCTATGGAGATAATACAGGAGAGCTGCTGTTAGTATTAGTCTACAATACACTCTTAATCTGGTATGTCGTTCATCTGCTGGAAGAGAAATATGGTAAGAATGCAAGGATTTCAGGTGTTTTTTCCTTAGTAATAAGATGGTTTGCCATTTCATAAAGCATGTTTATATTTCTGAAAATGGCTCAATTTTCTTAGTCTCTACACTACACTAATCTTCGTCTAGATCCCTATACAAGCCGAACTGCCATGTCAGTCTGCTGATGTTACTTGCCTCATACACGTTTTGTTTGAAAATTCATTTGTGATGAACAATGAACCCGCTAGCTCTTTGAATTCATCAGAGAGATCTTAATAAGAGACTAAATAGTCAGATTCTGCCACCTGTGGTTGAGGTTGACATCAACCAATTTCCTTCCAAAATTGGCACCCCCTTCAGATAGGCTTACGTTCTGTAAGGTGTAAAGTTTCATGCAAATCTACCGTTTAAAAAAAAAATTTGGCATAAAACTAATTATTAAAGTACTTTATTATATGCTATTGTGTTTGCTTAGTTATATATATGATATCAGTTGTCACTTGTGTTAGATGTTAATTTTTGACCATTTTGGAACATGGTTCGAGTATGGGAGCCGAGCGGACAGCACGCTGGACTTGTGATCCTGTGGTCTCGGGTTCGATCCCGGGCGCCGGCGAGAAACAATGGGCAGTTTCTTTCACCCTATGCCCCTGTTACGTAGCAGTAAAATAGGTACCTAGGTGTCAGCTGTCATGGGCTGCTTCCTGGGGGTGGAGGCCTGGTCGAGGACCGGGCCGCGGACACTAAAGCCCCGAAATCATCTCAAGATAAGATAGTTCAATATTTTTCGTATTTATGCTGAGACTTGGACCATGCAGATGATGGCCCGTTGTCGTCGTGAGGGGCTTGGTGGATGGCTGCCGGAGTGTGATATGCTCCATGAGTCAGTTCTCTGTCCTTTTGAAGCCTTATGCTCCTGCTGCTGTCTTAACTAATTTTGCCAGAAATCTTTTTTCCTTGTGTTTCATTCCCCCCCCCCCGCCTCCCTCTTCTCCTTTCTAATTGTCATTTCCTACCGACCTTTTGCTAGTCTTGATTATTTATTTATATACAAGAAGGTACATTGGGGGTTAACAGACCATAGGAATTAAGTTGAAATTACATTCTGGTAAAGCCACTAGCACGCATAGCGTTTCGGGCAAGTCCTTAAACTAACATAATTTGTAGATAATTAACAGTAAAATTGACAACAAATGTTTCCAGGTACTTTTAAGGTACAGATAATTTTATGTAGAATGATTACAGTAAAATTGCCAAAAAATGTTTACAGGTACATTGCAAGAAATTTTGACAAAAGCAGATTAGAATAATACACAATAATAAACAAGAATTACTAGGTACATTAGGATAACATTTCAAGGAATAATGCAGTAGAATATTCACTCAAATACAACAACCATAATATCAGCTGATATCTAAAATTACAATGGTAAAGTAATGTGGCTTAGGTACAGGTTCTTTCGGACTACTACTGTTTTGATGCCCGGGTGTTTGGCGAGGCACTCTCACCCATAGAACTGTAGTACCCAATGTCTCAGCGAGGTGGAACCTTTTATTTTCAATCCTCCTTTCGTCGCTGAACCCGATCTCTACGGATTGACGGTTCTTCAGGTGGCAATTGTGGGGCGTATACTCACGACGCACCCCTAGGGGATCCCGGCAAAACCGGTAACATGTCTCTTGTTGGGTGTTGTATCCTCTAATTGTGGCTCCATGGTTGGTACGGGGGCACATTCGTGAATGAAAGCATTCTCTCGTTTCCATGTCGCTGAATACTGTTCCTCTTATGACTTCTTAGGCTCATGGGGTGGGCGACCAAGCCCCCAAGTCGGACTGTTGGAAGACCGGGCTCTGTAGCCCCTGCTGCATTGGGCCCAGACCCAGCTCCTCCTCTGACCCTCCTGACTACTCCCCCCGGCTCCCCTCCCTCCCTCTGTGGTTAGGTCGAGCCACACGCCCCCAGCGGTGACCACCTCGTTCCCTGGCACGGCTTGGTTTCTCATTGTGACTAATGCGTCTTTTAAACCCTCTCTCTCTGGCGGTTCTCAACGCCGTCCCTGCTATGGCCGCATACGCTTAATCCCATCTCATATTAATACATACCAAGCCTTGTTTGGTCCTGCTTCGTGGGCTAAATACTTTGATCTCCTCCCTCTGGATTCTACACCTGACGATTTCTCCCTCCATAAATACCTTGTCGATTCGGTGGATGCCTCTGTTACTTTTAACCCCACCCGTTTCAGTACACATGTCGTTTCTGCTCCTTCACCTGATACAGCTACTCGCTTAGCCGCATTATCCTGCATTGGGGAGACCCCTGTTTGGGTCTCCAAAAACACTCGGTTAAATGCCAGTGTTGGCACCGTTCGCCCTCACCATGCTGCAACTGGTGTTAGGGACCTGAAAGACTGCCATGAGGATATTAAACATATCCTCGAAGCCAAAGCTATCCTGTCCTGGTGGACACGTTCATTCGACCCCTTCGTGGTCGCCACCATCAGCCCCTTCTAGTTGTGAAAATCATCTTTGATAGTAGGACCCTTCCGCCCTCTATCATTCTTGCTAGTGCTAGGTGCTCAGTTCAGGAGTACATCCCCTCTCCTAGACTTTGTAATACATGCTGAAAGTTCGGGCTTGGTGCCCTCAAATGCACAAGTCTTGTTTCTCTATGCCCCATGTGTGGGGACGATAGCCACTCTTAAGACAGATTGCTCATCTCCCCAGGATCGTTGCCTCAATTGCGGTGAGGCCCACCCTACCTTCTTCCGCACTAAGAATCCACTACAAGCTTGAGGAAGCAGTCCTCGACTTGAAACACCGGGATAGTTTGACTTTTCCTGAGGCGAGACGCCAAGTCCGCCGTCTCCACCCTTTCACTGGCGTGTCTTATGATCGCTTATTGCATTCTACCTCTCCTCGTCCTTCCCACCTTCCTCAGTCCCACAACCACTTCCAGGCCTTGGACCCGGACACGCCCACCACCACCTTCCCTGTTCCTTTACATCCTGTCCCAGAAGGTCTCCCTCCTGCTTCTCCTTCTGGAGCTTTCCCCTTCCTGCCATGTCTGCCATATCTCCTGTGTCTTCTTTTCCTTCTCCCCCCCCCCACCTGCTCCTCCTTTCTGTCCCTCCACACTATCTCTTGGCCCTCCACCCTGCCTGTCTGTCCAGGCTGATGTCCATCATCCTCCCAGCAATCTTCATGTTGTTCACTCCCGTTCTTCTTCTGCTGAGACCCTTGAGTCTGTTGCCCAGTACGTTGTTGCTAGAATACCTGTCTCTGAGTCAGAAACGTAAGCCTGGCTCCTCTCCAGCGGGTAAGAAGGCATCGCTTTCTTCCTTGCCCCCCAACTCTGACTCTATCACTTCGTCCCCTCCTATTTCGGTGGTCGGGCCCCCTGTCCCAAATATCGAGGTTTCTTTCGCCCCCAATTCCCTCTCGGTTGCTGCCCTTGCTGAGGTGCACTCCCCAGTTTCTACCCCTCCCCCTTCTGCTGTCCTTGACAGCCCCTCTCAGTTGTCTCTTCCCCCCTCCGGACCCTGTCCGTCTGCCTCTGGTCTGTCCTCCTGCTCCCTTCCCTCCATCCTTATCAAGTTTACCCATGCCCCCTAACCCTGATTTAACTGATCCTGATCCTGATCCTATTCCTGATCTTGAGCTTCTTTAATATGCTGTGTTCTTCTTTCTCTTTGTTTCTTCATTGTTCTCTATTGCTGTCCATTTTATTTTCGATAATGTCTCTTCTTTAATGGAATATTCGTGGATTTTATGCCAATTTCCATGAACTCCAACTTCTGATTACATAGTTTTCGCCACTTTGTGTTTGTCTCCAGAAGCTGATTCTTGGTGCTCGTCCTGGTCATTTTCGTGGTTATTCCTTCCCCTCTTCCCCCTCCCCCCCTGCTCTTGCTGGGTCCATAACTCTACTGCTCTCTTGATTCTTACCGATATTCCTTTCGTCCCCCTACTGTTTCCATCGCCTATCCATTGTTCTGCTGCCCGTGTTTTTGAGTAAACAGATATACAGTGTTCCATTTATCTTCCCCCAAATGTCCCGCTTTCCCTTCCTGATCTTAAGCACCTCCTAGACTCCTTGCCGGAGCCGGTGCTCCTTTTGGGTGATTTTAACTGTCGACATTCCCTCTGGGATGATGATCTGACAAAAACCTGGGGCCGCCTTCTTGAACCGTTTACCCCCTCTTCTTCCCTGTTTTTTCTGAATTCTGATGAGCCCACCCATGTGGACTCTCGAGCTCGCACCCTTTCCTGTCTTGATATTTCTCTCTGCTCGTCGTCCCTTTACTTAAATCTAACGTGGCGAGTTCTTGATGACCTCCATAACAGTGACCATTTCCCCATCCTTGTTTCCTTTTTCTC